CTGAAAATTAAAACCTGATGCTAAATAAAAATGTATCCCACATCAAAGAATGGTATTACTGAACTTAATTAATTCAATGAACTCCCATTAACAGCTGATTTTCGTCTTTGGAAAGGTAGCAGCGAGTGGAAAATTGGATGGTTCCGCTGCTAACCTAAAACACAACCGCCGTCGTTTTTTCCCCAATCCCTCATCCTAACCAATTTACATTATCTCGCATCTATTCAGACGGAACCAATCCAAAGTTGAATACGCAATCGCTAAAAAAAAACTGACTCGCGCCTACCATTCGTATGCAGCAGCACACATGAAACTTTACGCATACAAAATACCCAAACAGAACTGAAACATTTAAACTGCAACGCGAACTCCCGTTACAAGTACTAACATCTAGCAGAAGATATATTTCTACAACAATAAAGTATGCAAATGTTCAAAATTACCCTAATAACTTACGATTTGCAACAAAAAAAGCATAAATTATTTGTCTTTCACCTTTTTACCGGTTGCAGTTTTATTTATGATTTTACTAGATCTTCCCCCGCGACTTTATACGCTCAATATTAATGGTTATATGACCCAGCGTACAGAATGAAAATGTTAATACATCGGCAATTGCAGCTCATATCGCACATAGATTCTAAACCGAAGAGTTTTTGTTAGCAGCGCCCCACCCCTGGGCCTTGTAACTTGTTCCTCGTGCGGGATATCCAAGCCTACCGTTAAGATTGGAGATCAGTCACAGCCTGAGATGTCGCAACTAGTTCTGTTGCAGTATTTCACACCCCATCATCATGGGGATCTTCAGAAACATAGAAAATAGGACGATGATCAAATTAAGGAAAAGTGCAATTAAACACAATTATTATCACGCTTTCAAGAAAACCAAAAAATTCCGACCTCTTACAAGAGTTACACGCTCGGCTTTCTCAAATTACACAAGACTTTACATTTACCGGGTTCGTAAACACACGTGACCAAGTTTAAATGCAATTAGCCCATGTACCTATTCATAGAGATTATGTTTTGTTTATTGTATCCAATGGTAACTCGTATATATTACAATAAATTTGTTTAAAAACTGTTAATCAGTAAACTTTAAGTGAATAGGTTTCTGATTCTTAAAAAATGGACTAAAATGACTATACAAGGTGTTTCAAAGTTTGCTACAACTATTAGCAGACTGCTAATTAGGTAGTGACATACTATACAAATGTTTCATTTGTATAAGTATGTTAATTGATTCTAGGTCAAGAAGGTGACAATGGTTTAAACAAACTTTTATGATTATTTATGTCTCGCTAAATTAATAATTAAATCGCGACTCACGAACTGAAAATAGGGACCTGATATGATATATGATACCGCATTTCTGCATACCCAACATCAAAGGTGTTCAAGTTATTCCATATTTGTCAAAATTTGCTTTTCTGTTGAGCCCTGTACATATCAGTCCGTGACTGCCGTGAATTTTGATCGTCCTTTTACCGGGAGTTTTAAAAATAATGGTCGATTTCAATAACTTCCAAAGGTGATTCTTTCAAATAAAACATGTCTCAGTTCATTTACCCGTAGGTGCACAAAAAGAAAACATTTATTTGCTATCACAAATCAGAATGGCGGCTCGTTTAATACTGACATTTATTCGAAAAAATCTTACTTTCGAACTAAACCTGCTTGCTTTTTGAAAACAAGACTCGAATGAATTAATTTTCGAATTTTTCTCGTTATCAAGACGCAGAAACGTTCACATTGTATGGGTTTGAAAATGTTACCTCCATGTTGATGACGTAATGATGTTGATTTTTTTTACTGACTCATTGACTTGTAATTGCTCCCTAGGTTATTAACTCCAGTAAAACACCTGTAAATACATAATGTGGTCCAAAACTTAGAGGAAAAATTGGGAAAGTTGTGTTCAGATAAACGGCCAAATTTTTATCGATACGTTACCTGACTTATATCTTCAAATCGATAAATACTGTCAAATGTAGGTATTGTCTGATTTATTGTAACTGTGACGTCACAGGTAAACGGTTTCCACATCCCAAAATTATTACGAAAATATATAATCTTACATCCTTTTTACAGCAATCTCCATCAATAAATATGTCTTCGTACATGAAGTGGAAGTAGATAGCTCTTCTAATCTGCTAGATTGGCGTTGGACATTGTTCCTACTCGTTGATCAATTGTTGCTGTGCTTGGAAAAGCATCTTATTGTGGAACACTATTGTCGCTTTTTCCACCAAATAATAATTAGTTAGACGCCACATAATATATACGTCAAACTTGTCTTGCGTACTTCACGCCTCTGTAGTCTCTCCCGAATAAACGCGCGCGCACGTCTCATTTACCCGCGAAACCGAAACATCGAATCGCGCACCTAATTTCGTTGAAATTTCATAGTTATCCACTGTAACGGTTAGTTGCAAATTGCTATATACACGGTAGTTCAAAAATACACGTTCTGGTACCATCTCAACGCGAATAATAATTAATTCTTTCTCCCTGACTAATCCCCTCTCCCCATTTGACCTGTCTCTTTTTTATATCACGTGTGGTAGTCAAATCCGCCCTGTTTTTTATTGTACCAATTGGAATCGGTACATTCATGAAAGCACAAGAAAAAGAGGTTATCCTTCAGCGCCACGAGGATACAGATCCAACAGTTGCAACTCAATTGCACTAAGAAGACGAAAGCTTAACATAATTTTTCGGAAATAGTCGATTCTCTCGTTTCCTGGCGGTTATTTCACGGAGCTGGACAACAGGGCGCGGTCATTTCAATGCGGGACAATAAGGCGCAGGGACAAAAAAAGGCGCGAGACAATAAGACACAAAGACAAAAAGTCGCGAGGACATATGACTCCGGGTGATAAGGCGTCGAATATTCGGACACTAAAAAGTCTATTTTCCCATCGCCCAACATTTATGTAACGGCTTAGTTAAATGTACAAGGCGCGAAGATCTTATTTGCACAAAATAAAATTGAACCTCTACGGCCCTGGCAAAAAATTTCAATGTGGCAATTAATGTTTATTTGACCCACGGCTAGCTCAGTAATAAATATATTTTCAAACGTCTTGCCTTGCGGAAGTTTGGCCCTTTACCTCTTCTTAGAATTTGAAATTCAAAATCTAATGCTCTGGTTTGATTAATCCGGTGTTCGTGCCCCGATTGGATTCAATCCGAGAAAGCTTTTTTTCTTATCACACGAAAATGTTCCTTCGCGTATATTTTACCACTCGTAAATAATTTACTGTAATCGCCAATTCGCGCACACTTATATTTGGTGGTTAAACTGCTAATTTGTACTACTATTCGAATAGATTTCACTAAGAAATTGCACGTTTTGGTTCTCGAATTTCGACCGCAATTTTTCGCACATATGCGAGGAGATTATATTTGTTGCAACACAGCTAAAAATTTCGACCCACGGGTGTTTGTACGTGATCGCCCGGGAAAACCTGCTCTCGCCCGTTAGAAGTTCCGAAACGGGACCTATTTTCTGAACGCAACCACCTCGAATGGTAAACCTGCATTTTTGTCACGTGCTCGGCTTTACAGAACGGAACGAAACTCATGTGTTCGAAGTGATCGTGGCAACCGCGCTCGTTATTGCCCAATACTTTTCTTGTTATCGCCAGACATACTTTTGTTCATGTTCGCTATGAAGCGGTATATGTGTAAATTTTCCTGTCTTTAACAAACCAAATTTTTTAAACGGCACGGCGGCCGTCTCTTACACTTCCAATACTTTTTCTTTTTCTACTCTGTCAAATGCTGGCTTAAAGGTATAAACTGTATCTCGCCCTTCGTTCTTGTATCTGTCCATTTCTTGATCGTTTTATCTTCCCTTTTAGACTCATTTACATCGGTTGGTAATCCGATTTTATCCTTGTTCCTACCTTAAATTCCTTTTTCTGACAATTTCAATTCTCTTCTTTATTTCATTCACTTTTTATCTCGTGTTTCTCTTCTCATCCCGTCCTAGAGTCCTGGAATTTTTTGCAGTAGGTAGCCTATACCTTGAAGGTGTGCCAGACGGTCATCAAATCTCGCTGTCTAAAATGCCCCCCCCCCACCCACCCCACGAATTATTTCCTTAGATGCTGTTTTTGAAAGTAAAACGTGCATAACTTTTACATACGACAACCAATTGATCTCAGATTTTGCATACGCATGGTCTTAATAATGGTGCCAAGCTTTTAAAAATGGAAGGGGGGGGGGTAAACACATGTTCCTCTACTCTTCATGGTATTCTAATTCAAAGTCTCATCGAAATAAATTGGTTTGTACAAACTATAACTTTCCCGTGCGACTCTTTTTTGAAATCAATGAGCGACGGGGCCTGAGAGGGGGGGGGGTAAAAATTAATTTTATCTCTCATTGTATTTTAATTAAAAGTCTCAACGAAAGGAACCGTTTTCTACCAACTACTGCCCTTCTTTCTGTCCTCTTATCAAAGTACGGGGAAGAGGGGAAGGGGGAGGAGTGGAACTAGTTTTTTCCTTCATGGTACTTTCATGAAAGGTCTCAACGAAAGGAATTAATTTCTAGCAACCATAGCCCTCCTCGACATCGTGATCGGGTATATTACCTTATACCTCAAGAACGGATTGTCGCAAGAGGGTACTCACAAAGGGCGATTGAGACGTCTGCAAGAAATATATCCATTGGTGATGTCAAAACAAAAGCTATTTCGGTAAAAAAAATGCGCTTTATCTGCACAAGAGTTGTGCACAATTTATAGTTGTTTTAATTCCCTATTCTGACAGTCACCTTCATAATAGCATTGAATATCCAACTCTGGATATTCAATGGAGTTGGATATTCAATGATAATAGCTATAGTGTTGATTAGGTTCGAAGAACCAATTGATATATTAGGATGACGTGTTCTATCTCCATTGCCTTGGAATTTCCATATAAAGTTATAATCGACAAGTAAATAAACACAATGAAACTGATAAAGTTTCATGGCTCAATTTCAATAGTAAGATAGCAGTGTGCGGAATGTTTTTAGTTGCAACGTGACTAACGTCCGTGACTGGCAAACCCAAGTTTACCTTTGCCGTCATTCGTGTATTATAAAAATGTTGATTACGCTGTGATATTGGCAAAGAATTTTGGAAACTGTGATTATTTTCGTGTTGAGATTCCCAAAGCAAAAAATGAAACATTAGGCGTCGTCCAAGGCTGTGAACAACACGTAGATACTTCACGGTCTACACTTCACGATTGCGAAGTAATCTTGAATCAATGACGACTTCCGCACTTATTAGAAGCATAATTAAAATTTCAAATTCGCGCGCTGTGTTATTAGTATAATTTGCTGTGGTTAGCCAGCGGGAAAATCCAATGGACGATGTGCTTGGAAAGTTCCACTCTACCCACTAACTGATACCTTTCGTTTTAGGCTTGCAAAGTGGTCGATATAAGAATGGACGCCGACTGCGAGGAGGCGATCCAGCACATACGAAATGGTGAAAAGTACAAGTATCTTCTTCTCGGTCTGCGTGAAGGTCCGCAACTCCATTTGGACGACTATGGTTACATGCACGAGGGAGTGGAACGTACGCTCTCGAGGTTGCGATCGGATCAGTGCTACTACATGTTGTACTTTGACGACCATTCCGCGGGAAAAGGAGAGCTTGTTTTGGTAGCTTGGCTTCCTAGGCATATTCAGAATTGCGAAAGTGATCTGTATCACAGGTAGGAAATTGGGCTGAGAGATCCATCAGCTTGATGATTTTGTACCGTAGGGCTTTGATGATTGTTAAGGCGCTTTTGAAAGTCGAACATCTTCTAATCCTGAATGATGGAGTTGTGAGCTCGCCAACGTTTAAGGATTCCATTCGCAAGACACTTGGTAAGCATCATGTTCGTTGGCCCAAAGCTGGTCTAACAGTTCTCTTTAAGCTTGCGCCAGAAATAAGAATATAGTCCGCGTTCCCGCGCTGGACCATCCGATCGATGTGGAAGGCCTCGGATGCCTGTACTTTAAAAGGATGTTCGCGAATAGGGCGAAAATCGCTCAGGTAAGTGGGTAACGTGTCCAATAGTCACTCATCAATTCGACTGTAGATTGATGCCGTAACCGGGAAAAGTACAACCCATGGTGAGCTCCTGCGGGACTCTATTCGGCTCGCGATGAACATGAAGGAGCGCGGAATTGGAAGGGGGGACATCGTGACGATATGCAGCATCGACAACGACGTTGTAGCTATGCCGACCTATGCCACCCTCTTCTTGGGCGCAACAGTTTCCGCACTTGACGTGTCATTTAGCTTAAACGATTTTGTGAACAGCTTAGGCCAAATTGCACCAAAAATAATGTTCGTGGAATCCAAAGCGGTCGACAAAGTCGAACGAGCGCTAGAAATTGTTGGGCAAAAGTGCGAACTGGTTGTTATCGGAAAAGCGGATGTTCACACACCCTTCTCATCCTTAATACAACCAGTACCCGGCGAAAACGACTTTCGCCCGATACCGGCCAAAAGCTTACTTGACACCGCCTACATTGTCTTCACCAGCGGTTCCACTGGTGTACCAAAGACAATCTGCCACAACCACCACGCTCTCCAATTCCAATTACGTAACTTCATGTAAGCATCTCCACTAGCTGCAACCCATCTCTCTAAGCCCAACAATTGCAGAAGCACGCAGTTCTGTTGGGACCTCGTTCTCCACTACTCCACACCTTACTGGACGCTCTACACCAAATTCCTAGGAATGGCAACCATCCTGGGCACGTCGCGACTAATCTACCCCGACTTCAGCGAAAAAAGCTGGCATTTCACCAAGTACAAGGTAACTAAAGCGCCACCTTTTCAAATAATAACGTCGCCTTTCCCCCAGGTCACCTTCATGTTCCTTTCCGTATCGGAAATCACCAGCATGTGCGCCTACGAAAGGCCGAGGAACGTCGATCTTAGCGGACTGAAGATCATGGTCGGCGGTAACGTCATAAATAATGATCATCTGAAAAAGCTGGAGAAGGTATTCTACGATACCGAGATCTATCTCTCGTACGGAATGACCGAGGTGCCGTGCGGATTAACGACGTTCAAGCCTAACACGAAACTCGATAGGGAACTGAAGAAGAAGTACCCAACGTCCGTTGGTCTGAGTGTTTCCGGTTTGTCATACAAGGTAAGCCTGTCCAAATTTCAGGAAATTGTTCAAAATTCACAAAAATAATCAACAACAAGTACCCGAAAACATCCTCGCTCACGTGGGGGATACCACGAATTAATGTAATCGGCTTTGATTGGTCCCGCGAATATAATACAAAATGGCGAAAAAGTGGGTCCATTCTACTATCGAGTTTTTACAAATAAATCCTTATAATTATTAATGGCGCCAGGATAAAGAAAAGCCTATTTTTAAAATTAATTTTCCCAACGAAATTGAGCTATAAATAATGGTTTCGAAATTTTTATCGTGATTCTGGTAGAACAAAATAAAAATCTTGAACACTGTAGTAGTTAATGGCCCGTATGAATAAAAGTAAGCAAATGCTTATACTTGCAAAATTCAAAGTAAATACTCGTAACTGCCCCTTCATACTGGTCTGTTTAGCATGGTTTAGCAGCGCTGCACTGCGTCTTGTCCTTCTGCTTAGAAGCGCTGCTAAGTTGCCCAGTGCGAAGGAGCACTTACGAGTATTTACTTTGAATTTTGCAAGTATAAGCATTTGCTTACTTTTATTCATACGGGCCATCGGCACGGACAGACAGACGGATAGATGAAGCCTGAAGTAGTAGTAGTACTTTCTCAAAAAAGAAAGCTCTCAGAAAAGTTGTTCCCCTACTTTCTAAAGACATAGAGGGTTCAAATGATTTTTCTCGTTTGCTAAAAGGTATTCCATACCCCCCTCCCAGACCTCCCCCACCCCGTTTACACCCTTTCCCGAAATATTTAGTGCTTTTGGCACTTGTATTATAATTTTTAGGAAGATTTGATATCCTCTATGAAAAACTATGGTAGAATCTTTAAAGTTGAACGTTTTGAGGAAGAATGTAGCACCGGGGGATCTGGGGGGTGTAGAATACCCCCCAGTGCCCTGAAGAACTTGTTATATGTGTCAGGAAATAACCAGTGATTTCTTTTTTTACGGGGGGGGGGGGGGGATTCGATCCATACCCGAGTTCTTAGGGCTGACCGTTTTGAGGAAGAATATAGCACGGGGGGGGGGGGAGCCCTTTATTTTCAAAAGAGAAGGAGGCATCTTAATGAGCTCCAAGGCTTAAAATGATTTTTTAAGGCTGGGGTGTGTAGAGTCTCAAAAAAGAAAGCTCTTCAAAAATTTCAAAGTTGGTCCCTTATTATTTCGAAAACACTCAATAATACTGCTCAATAATCTTACAGATCGTTGATCCCGAAACCGAAGAAATCCTGGGCCCGAACAAAAAAGGCGAACTGCGCATCAAAACCCCGTTCCCGCTGAGCGGCTACTTCAAAGTGCAACCCTCCTCCCTCTGGGACTCCTTCGGCTGGCTAAAGAGCGGCGACCTGGCCTACTACACCGAGGACCACTGCTTTTACGTCGTCGATCGCATCAAAAACATGTTCAAGTACAAGGACTACCACATCGTGCCCAGCGTGCTCGAGCGCGCCCTCGAATCGCACCCGTCCGTCCGCAAGGCGGCCGTCATAGGCCTGCCGGACGAGGAAAACGGGCACCTTCCCCTCGGCGTCGTCATATTGAAATCGACGCAGGAATCGGTAACGGGATCGGTCCTGCAGGCGTTTGTCGACGGAAAGGTGGCCGACTACGAGAGATTGCGCGGCGGCGTAAAGATTGTCGATAAATTTCCCACGACATCAACCGGGAAAATACGCAAATGGTTATTACAAAACATGATAATTAATGCAAATTGAGTGCTGTTATAGTATTAATTTTATTATTGTATTTAAGTAATGTAAGATATTTTTGTATTATACTTTATAAATAAACCTTGTTTTAACATTCATTCTCCTCTCAATAGTTATCATCAAACTGGGAGATTGAAACGATAAAGATCAATTCCTACACCAATAAGCTTGCTTCTTCTCAACCAATATAACCCCTAGAAACGTCCAAACTGACATTCCTCATCAACTTTTACGTTGACTGACTCTGTCCCTATAAACAAAACCCGCTGCGGATCAGGCTCAATAACGGTGTATATAGCTTCAGCAGGATTGTAACGTAATTCTAGTTAATTTCGTCTCGAGTCGCGACTCTCTGGCGCCACCAACTTTCGCACGCATTTAACTCGACAGGGCCCACACATGCACATTCTCCGTAGGATTTTCTATATCCATAGAATGGAGAAAAGTATGTGGAAAATGTCCGATGTAGGTATGTGTAACTGCAAGGGATACACGTTTGGCAGACTTCGCACAGTACATATTGTGATGTTGAACCCTTACAGATAGGCAACAAATCTTACTACTAAAGAAATTTCAAAATCCCGTTCTGCGCATAGGTACATCAATTAGTTTACTCGTAGAAATTAAGGTTGGGGTTTGAATATATATTCAAAGGGTTGGGTCAGTTGCGTTACATTACAGTGTCGTTTCAGCCAGCTGTCTTGCAGGAATTTTAAAAATTCAGGCTTCTTTTCTTGTTGCATTATTGTTTAATTATATTAAATTTCGTTCCTAAATAGAGACTTACGTAAATATTATATGAAACAGGTCCATGTTTTTCCATTTTCAGTTCTAATAACAAACGTGCAAATTAGTTCGTAAACACGATTTCTGACAAGAACTGTTTCCAGAAACACTATTTTAAATATATTCTTTCAATTCTTTGGTGGGTGAAATTATCAGGAAACCATCTACACAAGTCGGGAGTAAGGGGCCGTTTTACAAGTCATTTAACGCGGGGATCCCTTTTAATAGCTTGATCATAACCTCAAATTGGATTATTGCACACAACAGAAAAATTACAAAAAAAACGGCCGTTCTGGAGACGAAACTATGTAAAATAATACCAAAACAGATGTGTAGGTACTTACACTCTTCTCACTTTCTTTATCCAATTTTCTCTTCTTTGCAACTCATATGGTCTGTTGGGAAAGCTGTAGAATGTTACAAAAGAGTCCGTATTTATGTACGAATTATTGCATCCAACAACACAACAAGAAACTCTGGACGAACGAAAAGTGTTTTTCGAAATCATAATTGTTGTTTTATTTGGAGTAAGCTTGTAAATATTAATACAGTAATAAACGGTCGATGAACTTGTTTCACCACATCTTATGTTAAATTCGCCACCAGACGGCGCCACATCCGAATATGCTACTCGCCTTGATGTGTATGTGTTACAGTTGTTACTCCGCAAGTATGTAAATTATCCGGCTATTGTGTACTAGAAGATTAATTATATTATATAAACACCCTGTACAATAAAGATAAAGCAAACTGCGATACACTAAAGAAAATGTCCATTACATTAATATATACAATTTATATCATTGGAATAGGTATATTGACTACGACCCTATAAAGCACAACAAGGCAAGCTACAAAAGAGGTAATACTACAACGAATGGCAAAGAAACAAGAAACCCCGCAAAACTATACAACGCGATAGAACAATTGTTCATAAATACATTTACTGTTTATGCACCAAGAGTTCTAGATGCACTGTCGTAGATGCTTCAACGGGAAATGGTTTGGTTCCGCTTCCTAGTAAAATCGCAAGGAGCGATTGCAGAATTCCCTGATGCCTCTGGTTGGACGGGCCGAATGGTTAGCGGGCGTAGCCTCGGGGAAATCATATGTCGTCATCGCTATTATCGAAACTGCTGCTGGAATCTTCGTCCGGACGCCAATTGATCTAATTCTGTGTTAAAAAGTAAATTGAAGTGCAGAAGCTGTCAGCGTCTGTGTGTGAATTAAATGCGTAAATCTTCTACGATCAGATTATTATTGGATTAAGAAAATAACTTAAAGTATAATTTTCAGATGTTATTTAATTTGTCTACCGCTTGCGTGTGGAGTATAATATGCCCAAGCAAGTGTAGTGTTATAGTGTACTTAACCCCCCGGTTCTACTTCACACTACAAGAACACGGAAATAAAGTCAACCTGGCAACGTTTAAAAACTCCAAAACTAAACAAGATCCCGCTTAAATTTGAAAGGTGGCACAAACATCTAAGGCAGGACCTCCTTACGTTAGTTGTAGACAACGCTTTGACCTGCCGGACCGTGTAGCGCAGTTCAGTGGAAGCTCGACTGCGGTACAGGGTCCCTGATTCGAATCCGGGTTCGGACATGGATATTTGTAAATGTATAGTGGGTTGGGTTGGTAGAGCAGCCTCGGCTGAAACCCCGCCCACTTAAAAATAAAGGCAAATTTTTAAAAAAATTTAAAAAAAAAAGCACCAGTAGGGAAGGAACGTAAAATAAAACACTGAAATTGTGAAAAGTTTGTTTAATAATGATCGCATTTATTATTGATTGTAAAAACTCGGAAATTTGAAGTCCAAAATAAATTACATTGCAAAAATAAACTTTGAAAAAAAAGAACTTACCAATAAAAAAACCAGCCGTCAAATTAATATCAAATTATGTTGTAAAATTAATTGTTTGTAATTATGTGAATGCGTAACATAAAATTATAACATCACAAAAAATAGCATGTATAGACTTGAAGAGGTAATAAATAGGTTAAAAACAAGTTTTGGGAATTATGGGTCAGGTAAGCAGGTACCAAGATTCTAAGAAAGGGTGAAATACACAGGATGTGACTCATCTTTGGTGCAATAAAGTCCTTTTGTTAAAAGCAACAAGGAAAATTAGATGACCTTGTAGGCAAATTTAACTAAAAACAAGATACCTATGTGGAAATTATTGAATCGCCACTCATTTATCGCACATAGATTCTAAACTGAATAGCTCCGATTAGCGTAATCCCGCTCCTGAAAGATGGGTAACCCGCCCCTGGTTTTGGGGTTTCAAGCCTACAGTTGAATGTCGAAGACAATGACGGAATTAGGTGTTGTAATGTTCCTAGGGGGGTCTATCAAGCCGACACGGAAAACGTTGACTTACCCTATACTTACGGTTGGCAACTCTGGCAAAAACTACAAGCAGAGCCACCTACCTTTCAAGTCGAAACGATGGTAGTTTCGCGGCACTTTTGAATTTGGATGACAGTCGGTTCGATATGGGTGGCACGAATGGACTCCTACGTTGTGTAATCGGTTCTTTTATGTGTTGGGACGTGAGACATAATCGGGAAGGGAATTAAATAAAAAGACAGAACTTTTGTGCGTAAGAAATGACAAGATCAAATAAATATATTAACGCACACACAAGACCATGCCAGGGAAACCTTCTACGGGACTAAAANTAATGCCGAGAAAGGATACCATAATAATACACAGATTAAGGATTGGTCATACTGGTGTCACGCATGGCCACATCTTGGACAGTCTCGATCCACCACGGTGCGAATGCAACGACATTCTTACTGTAAACCACATTCTCTCCGAATGCCCAAAGTATGATGAAAATAGACTAAAATGGCGGATAGGGACAGACCTGAAAGAAGACCTTGCAACACCAGAAAATATTGCCAGAGTAATTAATTTTCTGAAAGACATCAGATTGTATAATTGTATATAGATACCGTCCTATACTTATTATGTTAGCCACACTTATCTTACTGTAACTGTGCCAATGGCCATAAGTAGTCGAGGCACAATAAATTTAAAAAAAAAAAAAAAAAAAAAAAAAAAAAAAAAAAAAAAAAAAGAGGTAATACTACAACGAATGGCAAAGAAACAAGAAACCCGCAAAACTACAACGCGATAGAACAATTGTTCATAAATACATTTACTGTTTATGCACCAAGAGCGGCGTAGCCTCGGAGAAATCATATGTCGTCATCGCTTTTATCGAAACTGCTGCTGGAATCTTCGTCCGGCCGCCAATTGATCTAATTATGTGTTAAAAAGTAAATTGAAGTGCAGAAGCTGTCAGCGTCTGTGTGTGAATTAAATGCGTAAATCTTCTACGATCAGATTATTACTGGATTAAGAAAATAACTTAAAGTATAATTTTCAGATGTTATTTAATTTGTCTACCGCTTGCGTGTGGAGTATAATATGCCCAAGCAAGTGTAGTGTTATAGTGTACTTAACCCCCCGGTTCTACTTCACACTACAAGAACACGGAAATAAAGTCAACCTGGCAACGTTTAAAAACTCCAAAACTAAACAAGATCCCGCTTAAATTTGAAAGGTGGCACAAACATCTAAGGCAGGACCTCCTTACGTTAGTTGTAGACAACGCTTTGACCTGCCGGACCGTGTAGCGCAGTTCAGTGGAAGCTCGACTGCGGTACAGGGTCCCTGATTCGAATCCGGGTTCGGACATGGATATTTGTAAATGTATAGTGGGTTGGGTTGGTAGAGCAGCCTCGGCTGAAACCCCGCCCACTTAAAAATAAAGGCAAATTTTTAAAAAAATTTAAAAAAAAAAGCACCAGTAGGGAAGGAACGTAAAATAAAACACTGAAATTGTGAAAAGTTTGTTTAATAATGATCGCATTTATTATTGATTGTAAAAACTCGGAAATTTGAAGTCCAAAATAAATTACATTGCAAAAATAAACTTTGAAAAAAAAGAACTTACCAATAAAAAAACCAGCCGTCAAATTAATATCAAATTATGTTGTAAAATTAATTGTTTGTAATTATGTGAATGCGTAACATAAAATTATAACATCACAAAAAATAGCATGTATAGACTTGAAGAGGTAATAAATAGGTTAAAAACAAGTTTTGGGAATTATGGGTCAGGTAAGCAGGTACCAAGATTCTAAGAAAGGGTGAAATACACAGGATGTGACTCATCTTTGGTGCAATAAAGTCCTTTTGTTAAAAGCAACAAGGAAAATTAGATGACCTTGTAGGCAAATTTAACTAAAAACAAGATACCTATGTGGAAATTATTGAATCGCCACTCATTTATCGCACATAGATTCTAAACTGAATAGCTTTGATTAGCGTAATCCCGCTCCTGAAAGATGGGTAACCCGCCCCTGGTTTTGGGGTTTCAAGCCTACAGTTGAATGTCGAAGACAATGACGGAATTAGGTGTTGTAATGTTCCTAGGGGGGTCTATCAAGCCGACACGGAAAACGTTGACTTACCCTATACTTACGGTTGGCAACTCTGGCAAAAACTACAAGCAGAGCCACCTACCTTTCAAGTCGAAACGATGGTAGTTTCGCGGCACTTTTGAATTTGGATGACAGTCGGTTCGATATGGGTGGCACGAATGGACTCCTACGTTGTGTAATCGGTTCTTTTATGTGTTGGGACGTGAGACATAATCGGGAAGGGAATTAAATAAAAGACAGAACTTTTGTGCGTAAGAAATGACAAGATCAAATAAATATATTAACGCACACACAAGACCATGCCAGGGAAACCTTCTACGGGACTAAAACCCTGGCACAGGTCACACAAATACATGAAATAAATCACCTACAGCAATAAAATGCAAGAGAAAATACACATAAATAAAAATCTCAAATTGTATGATAAAAATCAGATAATCAAATCAAATGCAATTAAACAAGTTCATAAAAACAAAATACACAAGACATCATAAATGCAGTGGAAAACATGATAAATCAATTCAGTACAAAAACACATCAAAATACCTGTACGATCAATAGAGATAACACAACTCGTCAAATAAACAAATTGCATGTACATAGGAAACATGTAAATGGTGTGGCTCTACTCCATCCTTCAGTTAACATAATTCAATTTAACACGAAAAGTACAAGTGAGAATGCCATTGGTCAAAAGCAAGTATTCATGTGAAAATCGATTATCGCTCAAGCAGAACATATTTTAAATAGAGGAAATGTAAATGAGAGGGCCCCCACTCGTATTGCTAAGATGTTAAGAACTACAATCCGCACGAGACGAGTAGGCAACAGATACAGCGAAAGATCTAACTGCATTAGGTACCTACTCCACGGAGACAGAATACCCACTCGCACACACAAACATCGAAACATCAAATAAAAGAGCCCCCCTTCGTATAGCTAACGCACAAGAACTGTAGCGCGCCACGAAACAGAAAGTAACAGATACAGCGAACAATCAAACTGTATTAGGTACTTCCCTCACGGAATAGTTACGGGTCAATCGAACAGAGCAACATCACACCGATAATCAACTCCTTAATTACTTAATTAAACAAAATAATGGCATAATCATCTGTACCGTATTAGGTACAAACAGGATTCATCTATAACGGTACACGAAACAAAGGCATGGAATACGCCATGATTCAGATATCGTAGTTTATGCAAAATCAGCAAAATGTAAATATCACATTGTGGCAAGAAATTCAATGATTAAATATGTAGTACAAGAAAGAATAAAATGGTTACTACCTGTAAATACATCTTCAAAACACAACCACCAAAAAAATAATCAAGAATAATAGGTCCGTCGACCTCGTCGCCATCTTCTCTCCATTCTCCCCTAGCTTCGTTACCAAAATCCCCTAGTATTCGGCATCTGCGCAAAACGGTCGTTGGTTATATACAGAGCATATTATATTTTTGTTTCGGATGTAAACGTGTGTTGCCTAACCATCAGGGTGGATTATCACAGTGTCGTAACTCAATTTTGACTACAGTTTTTACCACCCCCGTGATTGCTTCATCCACGGAAAAAAATGGTTAGTTACAAACAACAAATCCGTACATACATCAAACGAATCGGTAATTTCCATATATTAAAATAAAATGATCAAAACTTATATGAATGTTACTTCAGGGGACAAGACCAAGTAATCAACATCAATAAACATAAATTAAGCAAGCATTACACCAAAAACGTAAACAATTATAAACAATATAGCATAACGGGTATCACACATGTGATTCTGCATTGCGGTTAAACCAAGTAAATTTCAAAAACAAAGATTCAATCACACACAAAATATAAAATATGGCATACAAAACACAAATACGATATAAAGAAATGCAAAGATTACTACCAATGCACATTGGCGCCGGGGCACAGGGACACCTGCCCCGGCGGGAACAATTTAGGGGGGGGGCAATGCCACCCCTAGAAATGTCATATACCTACTTTAATAAGTAAATACAACAAAAAGGTAGGAGTACAAGCCTCTGATTTTCGTTGTCTTGTACGGGTTTATTCGATTGAGGATGAATTTAGAGTATTTTTACACCTTATTTCTTTCCTTCTTGAGAAATTTTAAGTTTGCACTGCTCGTAGTTAGGTATTTATTATGTACATATAACATAAGTAGGAGAGTAAGTAAATTTTTTAAAATTTTAAAATACAGAAATATAAATTATCTTTGTGTCAAGTTTTTAGTAGAAACGGTTGTGCCCGGCGCCTTTGCCAATGCATTAAAAACACACAAAATAACAACAAACATTTATGGAGCGACGCGTACACGACCGCCATTCAAGACAAGACGCCCAACGTAACCCACGTTCGTGCTTTTCTAGATGGCGTAAGCAGCTGTTCCCCACCAAGGATACTATATAATATAAGTATCCTTGGTTCCCCACCTAGAAATTGCATGGTTGTCAACTCTCAAAAATGTGTCGTAAGTTGTATATACAGGGTGGAACCTCTCACAAGCTTCTCTTTCTTTTGGAATAAATTTTTGTCGTTCCCAATCAATTGTGTTTATACGAATCCAAAGTGCGACCCAGATAGAGTCTTCATGCCCGATTATTTTATTCGTACCTAAGAGTTGTTTTTCTCTCGAATTGAATAATTGTAAGTCAATATTGGGATTTTTTTTGCAGCAGATGCCAACAGGAAATTAAATAATTGTTTCACTAATTCCTCAACATTTATATACATATATTTGCAAGATTAAGTTATAACATGTTAACGCTTCCGATAATATTTACAATTCTACCCTTATATTTCTTGGATATATCATCCGCAACCTGCTCCTGCAACATTTTTGTATTCCTAATAACCGTATCGATAATTGGCAACATTTGCTCCGTTTGACTTCTCGCATCCTTAATCTTTCCCTCTAAAACACCCTTGGTATCCCTGATACGATCCACCGACGACAACTTTTGCAACAAACTATCCGTAAGCATGTCTATGTATTTCGGGAAATGTTTCACGTTATGCAAATGCTGCGTCCGTTTGGACGTGACCTCGTTCAGAACGCCTCTGATGCACTCGAGCATCGACGTCAGCGATTCCACTGTCTGCATTTGAAATTCGGAGGGCAGATCTTGCATCTGCGAAATGTCGAGGACGTCCTCCGACTCGTTCGACTTCTCGTACATTCGGAGCAATAGGAAGGCTTCCAGTTCCATCAGATCATTTAAGAATTGGTCGCGCGTCTTCGGATTGTCGAGAAGCGTGAACGCCTGGTGGCCGCGCGCTATTCCGCCGTCGATACCGGATTTTTCGACCACAATTCCGGTGTCGTCCATGTTGGCGTCGAGGTCCGTGTGATCCACGATTTCGAAGCCGTCGTCGGTACTGCTCAGGGTACCTGTAAAGGAAACCCGTTAATTTGGATTTTGGGTTAAATGATCGACGTGTATTTTGATTTTTATTTGTTCATTAGATTTTGGGTAAGATTAGGGAAATAAGATCTGGAAATAATTGCGTTGTTTTTTAGGGTTTATCTCATTTAAATCCGGTCATGCGATAAGAAGTTCATAAAAGCTAATTAATTTAAGATAAGCAAGTGTTCGGCGGGACAAACACAGACAAAATAAAAAAGAAATAGGATCAAAATTGTAGAATGGCAGAATGATTTGAAAAAGTGAAAGAGACGTTAAAGGGACAAAAGACAGTCAGTCCTGGTGGTTGTAAAGTGTTTGTAGAAGAAAGTTTTGTTCGAGTAAAGCTCAAGTTTGTGTCATGTGTACGGAGAAGTAGTTTGAGCGGTGTGTCTATTGAGAAGTAGTGGGCCATTCTTTAAGGTTTTTCCAAGTACCTGATAAAGTGAACTTATCCACCACCAAAAAGCCACTTTTACATTTGAAATGACAACAAAGGCAGTTTGTTTAAATCAAAAACCAAGTAAAGAAGTCAAGACTGTAGTATCATCAGTTGGTGTATTTTTGGTGTACTCCCTCAGGAAATTGCACTGTGCACCCAGAGGTCTACCTACATACCCCAGTCAATTTCGCTTTTCTCCGGGCTGATATCGAAGTCGATTTCATCACCGAAGTCTATGGTCTCCATAACTTTAGGCTCCTCGTCAATCTCAAGCTTCACATCAGGAAGCTCGATCGAAATCGGCTTCTCCCCGTAAGTGTACTCGTAGGTCGTCGTGTTCCCCTTTTCGATAACATAGCTGAGAACGGGTAACGCGTTGGAATGCACGTCTCCGTAACCGTGATACTGTAAATAGGCGTTGTGAAGTGTTAACGTAGGCGTAAGCGACTTCGTCTTCTTAGCAGCCCTCTCGTAGATTTCCGGCAAGTCGTTCAGTAGAGTCGTCAGCTCTTTTTTAATGTTCTTCCCTGCGATACCCAACTGCTTACAGGACGCGTTAAATTCGCCTAGGGTGAACGTTTCGGTTTTGCCTAACTCCTTAATCTTCTTCTCGCACTCGGCTTGCACCTGTTCGAGTTTGGTTACCTGCTTGCGCAAACTGGGCACCTCGAAGTTCGAGTTACGTATCAAGACCTGAGCGGCCTCGGCTAAGTACAATGAATTCTTCTCGTACATCTGTACAATGTCCTTCCAATCTTTCATACGCTGCGAGCCATACCGCCCGAACAAGTTCTTCGTGTCTGCCTCCGTTTCCTTGAGAATCTCGATGATTTTTAGACAGTGAAAGTAATTGATGTGCTGCCCGGAAAGTAGCTCGATGACGCCCTGATGCTCGGGCATGTCCTGAATGGCGTTATTAATCTTTTCGCGTATCTTCAAGATGTCATTCTGCCAATCCTTGCTGATATGCCTTCTACTTATTAACCAGTCCAATAATTTTGTGGTATTTATGTCAATTGGAATATTCTGTTCGTCCATGGTTAAACTTGCCAGGAAATTATTTAAAAAATAAACATATGGAAATAAAATAACAGATTCATAACCTAAAAAGTGACTTGTCAAGAAAAATCATAATTGCCAACTGTTGCCGATATGTAGGAACAACAGGGATGCCACTTATGTTACTAATATATATAGGGTGCTACCTGCATGAACGTTATCTCACCAGCATACTTAAATGAGAGTTTGTATTCAATGGCAAGGAAATTATTTTGTGTGGATGCCGCTTCTTCCATGGAGAAGAAACTTAATAGAAATCGTTTTCTACAACTCCATAGAACGCCCTGGAAAATGCCTACAAAACTTCTAAAAGAACCTGGAACCCCAATGAAAGACAGCGGAGAAGCGCTTTCTGATATTTTTTCAGCCTTCTCGAAGTGCTTTCTAGGGATTTCATAGGCACTTACTTGCCTTTTCTAAAGTTTGATCAACCAATATGAAGTTCACCAAAAACTACAAATGAGCTAAAAAAACTATGGAGGTCACTTAAGTAAGACTGATCTTTTCTCTGGCCCTCCATTGCGATGTTAAAAGCTTCCAGTAGGGTTTCTCAAGAGCTTCAGGTACCCTTAGAGCATTTTTATCGTCCTATCACAGCTTCCTAGGTATTTCCAGAACTTTCTGTACAAATCTTGTTCTGGAAAAGGTAGAGAAAGCATCCAAAACATTTTGGAAATGAGCTACGCAACGGCCTATACCGTTCGGGAAAAGCTGAAGAACGCACACGATTTTGGACTAAAGAGTTTCCACAGCTTTTTTAAGTACACTTGGGTCTCTAAACCATCAGGACAAGTTAAACAGCACTAGCACGCTTTCCAACGCATTCATGGTGCTTTAAAAAAAAGTGATAATACCCATGGAAGGCCTTCAATATTTCAGGAAAGCTGTCCAATGCTCCAAAAAGTACTCTGAAAAAAAAAGTTAGTCTACTGGAACCCCTTCCAAAACATGTTGCCTTTCTGGAACTAACCTAGAAAAATACGAAACTTGGAAAATATTAAATACATATACTTACACAAGAATTAACAGGGACAAAGACAATACCTATAAAGAATTAGAACGATAAAAGAGGCGGAATTAGGAACACAACACAGATTAGTAAGAGCAATTAGTTACCGAGTCAGACTAAGCGCCAATGAAGAAAGGAAACATAGTAGGTAGTTTAGCGATATACAAGCTAAAAAATAACGAAAACCAGAAAAATACCAGAAGGGGACTAATTTAGAACTCGCAAAACTGGAGAATGGAAAAACAGAGTGGACCTTAGAAGAAAGTTGGATAACTTTCAAAGAGACACTGCTGAAGATAACATAAGTAAAAAATATGTGCGAAGAGAAAATACAGTAAACAGGTCAAAAGGACGAGGTGTTGGAACCATAGCGACATTCAAAGATAAGAAAACAGCATGGAAACAATATATACAAACAAAAACACAGGAGTACAGAGAGGAATATATTCGGAGGAGGAACACGGTGAAAAATAAAATTAAAAGAGCAAAGACATAATCTTGGACGGAGTTTGGAGAAGGGATAACAGAAGAAAACAGAACAGATTATAGAATATTCTGGACGAGAATAAAAAGATTAACAGTGGATAAAAGGAAAGAAATAAAAACAATTAAAAATTTAAAATACACACAAAAGAACATTACAGAATAAAGTATAACACGACAGAGCCAGAAGACAAAATAACAAGAAAAAAGCGTGGGTAAACCAAAAATCCCGTTTTAATTCTGATATATAAGAAAGGAATTGTGAGGTATAGAGAGAAGGAGAGGGAGTATATCTAACATTCTGAGAGGTTCCACCCTGTATATACAACTTACCATGATACATACATTTTTATCATATTTGTGTTTTATATGCCGCATTTTATATTTTTTGTGTGTTTGAATCTTTGTTTTTGGAATTTACTTGGTTTAACCGCAATGCAGAATCACATATGTGATACCGTTATGCTATTGTTCGTAATTGTTTACGTTTTTGGTGTAATGCTTGCTTAAATTATGATTATTGATGTCGATTACTTGGTCTTGTCCCTGAAGTAACATTCATATAAGTTTTGATCATTTTATTTTAAAATGTGAAAATTACCGATTCGTTTGATGTATGTATTGACTTGTTGTTTGTAACTAACATTTTCTCCGTGAAAGAAGCAGTCACGGGGGTGGTGAAAACTGAAGTCAAAATTGAGCTACGACACCTAATTCCGTGATTGTCTTCGACATTCAACTGATGTAGGCTCGAAACCCCGGAACCAGAAGCAGGTTACCTATCTTGCAGGAGCGGGATTACGCTAATCAAAGCTCTTCAGTTTGGTCGATAAATGAGTGACGATTCAATAATTTCCACATATCTTGTTTTTAGTTAAATTTGTCTACAAGCCATGTAATTTTCCATCTTGCTTTTTGCATCTTTGCTTTATTGCACCAAAGATGAGTCACATCCTGTGTATTTCACCCTTTCTTAGAATCTTGGTACCTGCTTACCTGAGCCATAATTCCCAAAACTTGTTTTTAACCTATATGTTACCTCTTGAAGTCTACCTGCTACTTTTTGTGATGTTATAATTTTATGTTACGCATTCACATAATTACAAACAATTAATTTTATTTGTTACTCAGTTGTAAACGTTGATTAACAAGACAAAATGCAAACGGGTAAACGTCATGTTTAAACGCTACTGACTTGTAAAACTGACAGCAGAGTTGTAAAACTGACAGCAGACCTGTAAAAATTTTACAAGTTAGTAATCTAGTAATTTCATTGGCCAGAATTAATGCGAAGTCTCTGTTACATGGATAACATGATATTTTAGACATTTCTTCAAGATTAATTTAAGAACTAATTATTTACGTTTACTATTGTTTACAAATGAGTAACAAATAAAATATTGTACATTATACGCCAGGTAATAGTTTTTACTGGCTCTAGGAGATGACAAGCTCGCCTAACGGCTCGCTAGTCAACTTCTCCTATCGCCAGTAAAAACTCACTTACCTGGCTAATAATGTAAAATACTATTACAACATAATTTGATATTAATTTGACGGCTGGGTTTTTTCTATTGGTAAGTTCTTTTTTTCCCAGCCTATTTCTATTTTTATTCGGTGAACTACCATTTTCAAAAGTTTATTTTTGCAATGTAATTTATTTTGGACTTAAATTTTCGAGCTTTTACAATCAATAATAATTGCGATCATTATTAAACAAACTTTTCACAATTTGAGTGTTTTATTTTACGTTCCTTCCCTATTGTGGTTCATGTCCAAGCGTTGTCTACAACTAACGTAAGGGGGCCCTGCCTTAGATGTTTGATCACGTGCCACTTTTCAAATTTAAGCGGGATTTTGTTTAGTTTTGGAGGGAAGTCATTCGGGTGGCCATTTTTAAACGTTGCCGGTTTGACTTTATTTTCTTGTAGTGTGAAGTTAGCGTAGAACCTGGGCGTTAAGTACACTACAATTCAAGACCTAAAAGCAGCGTTCGATATGTAAATAGGAGACAAGTATGGAAAACCCTGGGAGAATTGGAGATACCCAACATGTTGATAAACGCAGTAAGAAGCAACAGTGTAAATGGCGTGACAAAGATCAGACGAATTCAAAATAAGTAAAGGAATATAACAAGATGACACCATAAGTCCTCTACTTTTTATCATTATTATGGACAAAGTTACTAAACAAATTAAAGAAAAATATAACCAAATGGTCATTGGGCACAGGAACCTAGAAGCAGTTAAAGTGGGCAGTCTGTTATACATTGACGATGTGGTATTAATAGCAAATAAGAAAGACAAAATGAAAAATTTAGTAAACGCCTGGACTAAAGAAACTGAAAACATGAAAATGGAAATAAATGCAAACAAAATAATGATCATAAATGAAAAAGAAACAGACACCCAGATCGAAAGAAATCAAATGCAAGAATAAATTACTGGAGATAGTAACACCATACGAATTTTTGGGCGGATGATGGGAGTTAGCAAACAGAGCTAATAAATTAACAAGCATATATTACTCAATAAACAAAACAATACTAGGACATAAAAATATAAAATATAGGGGTGAAAAGAAAAATACATAATGTAATAACAATACCAACCATTATACATACGCCTCTGAAAACTGGACACAAAGGAAAAAAGACGAAAGTAAACGCTATGGAAATGAAACATCTCAGAAAAATTGCTGGAGAAACCAAGTGGGACAGGGTAAGAAATGACATGATCAGAGAAATAGCAGAACAAGAGCCAATAAAGGAAAAAACAAAAAAGGTTCGCGCATATAGTAAGGATGGAACCGGCCAGACTTACAAGAATAATGGAGATGGGAAAACCAAAGACAAAGCAAAATAGGAAGACATCACAGTTTTTGTATTTATTTATACGAATTATTTATTTATTTTTATTAATATATTTAATCAACTAGGAACATGCGTGTTTAGGACTACAATCAAACCAGCGCATTAGATTTGGAATTTCAGGTTTTAAGAGGAGATAAAGGGCCAAACTTCCGCAAGGTAAGGGGAATCAAAACAAGTTTTATGAGCTAGCCGCGCGTAAATAAAAATTGTCACATTAACATTTTTTTTTACCAGTGCCGTAGAGGTTCAAGTTTATTTTAAGTAAATGAGGTAAATGTAACAAACTTCAATTATCAAAATAAATTATAAACACAAGATTTTTTAATAATATATTATTTTTATTTTATTGTTCAAATTTTAAAATTTCATTCATACATTTTTTCATACAAGCATGAACATATATACAAACAATACATTAATTTCCAATACACTACATGTAACAGTTGTTTTACAAAAAATTCGATACAAAATCTTCATTACGCTGTATTGAATGTATTGTATGCGACTATCCAATGTAAAATTATTTAAGCGAAACGAAATCGATCAGAGGGGATCGAATCCGTTTGGCGAGCTGTATAAAAAATTTCAAATTTAAAGGGGTACAATACCTGAGCCCTTGGTAATTGTACGGCCGTCAAATTTACGAAAAATAATTTACACTGGATAAGATAAACTTTACCCTGAACTACAGTGTTTGGAGAGTTGTTAAAAACAAGGAACCGAAAAAAGCGATACCTTCAAAACCGTACATCTCCAAAGCTTTGTATTAATTTAAATAAATTTATTTAAACAATCAACTCGAATTTGTTTTCGGTACAAAATAAATTTAAGTTAAAACATTTCACGCTAAATCTAGGATTTAATACTGAAAAAATACTCGTGTACCTTATAATGTAATGGCGATACACTATTTCAGTGTACGTTTTCTGAACATTTGTAATGTATATTGTCGCAAAGAACAACAATACGATTCCTCCCATCATATACACAGAAAATTATCGAACATCAGATTGATCATGGCAGTGCCCGACCGGATTTTCACATAAAATAGGTTCTGGTAACAATTTACACAACACAATAAATTATTTAAAGCTTAAACATGAATAGAAACAGCGAGTTAATAAAAATTAGGGAGTGTCTCGCTCGACTTGTTTCGTCATACGAACGGGTATGAGTGAGTTTTTGGAAAGCGGGAGACGATAACCACAAAATTTCAACATCTGATGTCATGTTTTTCGCAAACTTAACAAAAAAACAGTCTTAATTTTGATACGAATAATAAAAGTAAGCGTAAACATTTAAGTTTCATTTATTTGTAGTGTTCACAACCGTCTCTTGATTGAGCACTGATATTTTATTATTAAATAAAACATTCTACGATATCAATCACGCGACGCCGCCGCCTGTAGGCCATATTTGTACTTGTCGCATTGCGTGATTAGTATCGGAAAACGTTATCGCTCGTAAGTCACATTTTGTGACGACTACCGCATATCCCGTATCGGATACCGCACCAATGGCAGAACTTGAGAGGCGGATAAAACCACAAGCAAGGTACGAATAACGATAAAAAAGTCAAACACAGCCACCTCTTACTACAGTTTTCGTCGTACGTGCACTGGCAGGGGTGCTGCACGTAATCCCCCTCTGCGTCGGCGGCGCAATGATAACAGATGCATTGCGCGCACCCGATACACGTTATCGTATCGATCGTCGATTTGAGACAGTCCGGCGCGTACTCGCACGCCCCCTTCGGATTCGCGTCCTCCGAAAACAATTCGTTACAATGTCTACAGCGTATCTGCATCCGACCCGATTTCGTGTACTTCGTCTTCAGCGGCAACGGCGGCTGCTGCAACTGCACCAGTTCCATGCCCAGCTTCTTCGGACTCGGCGAGTCGCGCCTCGCGAGCGGCGGCTTCTGGTCCTCCATCACCGGGTAGATGTACTCGTGCTTCGCCGTCAGCTGAACGTACGTGTAACTCTCGCCTGCAACTGCACCTCACTTTTTAATAATTGCATATTAAAAATAGGAGGCCGAAATTAAGCGTTAAACGCGCGACGCTTACATAAATAATAATCGTTTTTAATGGTCAGTAAAATGCACTCGGATATTGGCTATAAAGCAATTATCGTTTCTATTTTTAGGACGTATCCACAAAAGTACCCTAGAAATATTCCGGATACTGTTTCAGGTGAATTGCAAATGATTTTCGTTAATTTACGAATAACAATCAATTGATAAGGGAGGATGGGCCTCCGTTAAGACAATTCCGTATTGAATTACGTGTGAAATGTGACATTTCCTGTTTCTAGAACAGTTTCTCTATTGTATCAATATCCCCAAACCGCTTCGCATAGGGAACTGTTATTGAAAGGAGATCTAGTAACACCTTGGTGGAGTAGCTAAACATTAATAGTGGGTTGGGCGGTGAGGTCATGATCACTATAGTTCACTATCCCCTCAGTGTTGACTCAACCCGCTCTATGACGGCCCCAAGTAAAAATCCAGACTAAAGGCCTCGTGTTTGTGCCGTGCGAAGCGACCCGTGAATTTACACTCTTCCAACAAGGAGGCTGATCAAAACACTAAACCAGAGGGAGCATCCCAGGATACCCCCCAACATATGTCACGGAGCCTCAACAACAATCCAAACCACGCAAACGCATCTCCGGCGCTGAGTAGAAGAGGTCCTCTGGTCCAACAGGCACCTCTAAATTATCCGACCCAACCCTGACCCAGAGGTAGGCTCCTAACTCCGATTAGGTGGTCAAACGGGTATGCGGAGAGAAAAATAGGCAGAGATCGGATGGCTCAACATCCCACAATTTTGGGAGGCTGCACATACACAGGTAGGAAGACTGCCTTCCTAGATTCCGCTAGGGTGCCACCTGAGTCCCAGGGCAACCTGACGACCTGCTGGAGGTGAAGCGGAACCTGGAGGTGCAGAATTTTTGGGCAAAGGTAGGTATCTGGTGTCTTTTCCACACGGTCGCGAAGTATCAAGCTCAAGGGAGGCTGATAGTGTTCGGCGTTGAGGAAAAGGGCCAGGCTAACCTAATCGCCAGGGGGAGAAGGCTAAGTTATGGGATGCGTTTTCTAAAAGTAACCCTGTTGAACCTGGAGTGGAGAGTACAGGGTGAGTCAACGATTGCGCGGAGTCACTTAATGCCTTGAAGATAAGGTTTTTCGATAGAGTGCTTTTGTATTATCATATGGTTGAATATTCTCCACATTTTAAAAATATTTGGAATTATACAGGGAGCGCCCACAAAATAGGGCGCCCAAATAGTACATTTTTTAAATAGAACCCCCTGCATTTGAATGCATTTTTGAATTGTACAGGGTGGCCAACTAAGAATGCGAGGTACTGTATCTGAGAATCTATCCATCGCAGAGGCTTGCGGTAAAAAAATTTATTACTAAAACGGGCAAAACCTGGGAAATATTTTTAAGTTTCTGAAATGACCGCTAGGGGGCGTAACTGGAATCTAAAATCTTCTATGAATTTCACTATATTAACCTAACAAAAAAATGTCCGGTCTTTGAAGTTGACGATAATCTGAACAATTTTTGTTTGACAATTTTTCCTGTATCTCTAAAAATGAAGTGGTGGGGGGTATTGAAAGGTTTCCGTAACGAACACCCTGTATCTTCGAAACGACTGAGCCGATTTTAACAAACTCGGGTTAGTTCAAAAGAGCTATTCTTCAGTTACAAATATTATACTATTTGAAGTTTTGTTAGTTTCACATACACGGCGGCATTAAGAGCTTCCTTTTTTAAATCGACCCACTTTAGGGCCACGAATTATATAATAAAAATAATTCCGGAAAAATTAGCTTAAAAAAATAAAATTTTGAGGATATTGGATTTGAGGAAATTTTCTTTGGCCTAAATTTTAGGTTAGGAACAAGATATCCAGATGCGGTTTTAGTGAGCTTGTTTAGGCATCATTTAGCTACTTTTTCATGAAAAAAAACTACTAACTACTAACGCAGTTAGCAGAATTCACAGAAAAATCACTTTTTTAGATTCCAGATTGCAGTTACGCCCCCTAGCGGCCATTGCAGAAACTTAACAATATTTTCCAGGTTTTTCTCGTGGCCGTTTTAGTAATAAATTTTTTTACCGCAAGCCTCTACGACTTACGATGGACAGGTTCCCAGATACAGTACCTCGCATTCTTATTTGGCCACCCTGTACGTGTAATTGTACGTCATTTTAGCGCATTTCCACAAAAATAAAACAAAAATGCGCTATTGTGGTCACTTTGTTCATCCGTCCGTCCGCTCGTTCGTTGAGACGCTACTAGTTGTTTATCTTAAGAGTTATTGTTCTACTTTTTTCGCTGTTTGGAAATTTTTCTGCGTTTATTGCTAAAAAACGAAAAACCCGTTTTCTACATGTTCCATAATTTTACACTTTTGCTGTTTATTAACAATCCTAGAGATCGTTTATAATTTTGTATTGCTGCCTGTCGTCTGTCTGTTCCTTTGTCTGTCTGTCCCTCTATCTGTCCGTGTGAACGATAACTTTGTTTAGAAATGTCCGATCGCTTTGACATTTCCGTTAGTTATGAACTGAATTGCATGAAATTCCATATGGGCACAGCTTTAGCCATATAATACGAAATGCCAAAAGTTGAGTCGAATCGATTGAAAATTCGCAGTGCCCTTTCCGCATCTCGACCATTTATAAACCGAATTGCGAACTTTTTTATTTATAAAAGTATTTGAATGAAATTTGATACATAGGCACTAATAAAGGAAAATCAAACGCCAGTTTCAAAATTTGGTTTTATGTGATACATAGGCGCTTGGAACAAAGGAAAATTTTGTTTATTATATGGTTAATATCCGAAAAGCTAGTAGTTTTAAAGATAATTCGATTTTTAAGAAAAATTGGGCATTTGCAAGCGTCAGTGTATTGTCAAAATTATTACTTAAATTTTGATTCCAGGTTTTATATCTTTTATCCTGGGTTAAGTAAAAGTCAAATAAATACATCTGCAATGAAACATTAAAAAAAATAGCTTACAGGGTGTTTTTTTGGTAGGTCCAAAGTTGCAAAACTTCATATTAAAAAATCTCACTTTTTAAATGGAACACCCTGTATTCTGTCTATCATTTAGCTCCTCTAAAAACCTTCAACTTTTGATAATAATGTCCTATACATATCTCTGATAGTTTTCAAGATATCTTGGTTTTCCTGGGATTTATATTCTAATCTTAAATAAGTTATATGTAATTTGCATAATAGTGAGGTGGCCATGCAAAAAAAGACAATTTCTATCTGCCTTGTTCAAAGCGCACTCATTGACCCACCCTGTACAACCGCCACAACACTGCTCAAGCTGCAAAGGCTACCTGTGGTCAGTGTTAGCGACTCACCCGGGCCGATTTCGAACTAGGATGAGTTTGCAAAAGTATTCCTGGATGTCTGATTTTAGCAACGCTGGATAAACGATAAACAGGTACGATCTACATACATAAGTATGCAATAAAATGTTATACATTTTATACAACCTGCAACACTGTAACACGGCTGTTGTTATTTTAGGCAGATGCAGGGAAATTGCCCTGATTCGAGAACCCGTGGTTGTTAAATCGAGGGCTTCTGGTCTTGGGGGAACAAAAGGAACCGAGAAGAAAAACCTAGAACATGTATTTATGTTCCTAGCCACCTTAAAGCTCTTCTGATGCCACACCTGTGTGGCCGTGATGTCAAGACTATACAGTTAAGCTGTGACATACAGAATAAATCTCAAGTACTACTATTGCAATGGCGATTGAATGTTATTGTCAGCTATCTAGTGAGAATATATACAGGCTGTATCGCTTTCAGATACATACCTAAATAAACCTCTAAAAAAAGAGTGCGCAATACATACATAAAGGATAAGCGCTATAGTCCATTTGGTATTACTATTCCAATGTGTAATTAACCTCACTAAATGCAGCATTAACTTTTTTTTACCTCACGCCATCGATTAAACATAAACAATTCCCTAAAACAAACTGCAACGCGTTCTTGTTGACGTGCTGAATAAGAATGAACAGAATAAAGTACCGCAACGGTTAAGCGATTCTAGGTCGTATTGCTTACGTCAAACAATGTTAATTGAGGTGAATTTCGCTTGCATTCAGTTTTTGTTTACAGTAATGTTGTTTACGCCTACCTGATGCCAATTAAACTGCAGTTCTAAAAACTGGATGCAAGCGAAATTCACCTGAATTAACATTCTTTGACGTAAGCGATACGACCTAGAATCGCTTAACCGTTGTGGTACTTTATTTTGTTCATTCTTATTCAGTACGTCAACAATAACGCCTGGTAGTTAGTTTTAGAGAACTGTTTGTTTAATTGGCGATGTGAGGTAAAAAAAAAGTTAACGCCGCATTTAGTAGGGTTAATTACATATCGGAATAGTAATATCAAATGGACCATAACATGGTTTCCGCTGCACCCTAAGTAACCCACACGCATAGTCCCCAGGAAGATCTACAGAGTCAGCCCTGCACTGCGTCGTAGGACTGATTGAGCTGATGAAAACCAGACTCTCCACAACTAAAGCACTTCTTAATCATGTGCAAAGACTTGCATGCCTTGCTTGCTTCTGGGTCTGCCTCCACTAGATCTCTCCGTGAGAGAGCAGCCCACTCTGGCATGCTTGTGTCTGAAAATAAGGGGTTGTTGAATAGCAGAGGTATTGCGGTGGGCCACTCTCGATTAAGCGATTGCGTCACCACAACACATTGTGAACCAACCTTCAATTATTTGTAGGTCATGTGCCCCTGGTATTCTACTAATTTGATCTATTCAATACATAAATGAAGAAAATAAATAACGAAAACAATTACAATAAATGTTCGAAGTGTCCTCCTTGACATTCTAAGCAATAACCTAACCGATTTCGCAATTAAATTTGACGGCGGTATTTTAAAAATGTGACAGCTGTCAATTGTATCTACTACTCATTTGAACTACTCAATAGATTGATGTGTTTTTTTAAATATCGAACATAGGGAAATTACATTGCATGCAAACTCCTATGTTCGCATTTAAAAAAAATTCCCTGTATGTATGTATATTATTACAATGAAGTCAGTCATGTCTGGGTCTGTATTCTTCGCCCTTGAGACCCTGATGCTAGTGTCGGGTTCCGCTGCGTAGCAACCTTAACGGCTAGATTCATTTCCGTGAAAGATGGTGGGACAATGTTTTGGGTATCAATGTAGTTCACATTGGCGAGTAACGATTAAAATTGCCAATGTGAAAGCAGTCTTATGGTGTGACTGTGGGATGCGCGTTGGAAGGGTGATGGGAGACTGGAAAGTTTTCAGTAGCTCTTTTTCCTTCCTTGTAATCAAAGACCCTAGAGCTACTCTTGTGGTTGTGAGAGGATAACTCGTTTCACAACACAACATATGTAAGTTCTATCAATAGACAAGTTTGTTACTTGATCATCGGCTGCACCCTGTGTTATTACAACCTATGGACGGTGGTAAGCGTCACGAGACGCTTCCAATAGCTAACTAACTTATGTCGGCACTCACAAAGTGCCACACCAATTTTTGTTATTTGATTTTGTTATTCATATTGTAAAAATTACAGAGCCGAATTTAGGAGGCGGCTCCAAAGATGAGCCTGGTGAAAGTGGGGCTCCATGTGGATCCCGGGTAGATACGGAAATGTCTCACTGTGAATCGCAGGTTGGGCTTAGAGCTGTAATTATGCCCATGTTTACTTATGGAGCAAATGTCTGGTGCCCACGTGCCAAGATGAGGGTACCAGGGGCTATGTGGATCACCCCCATAGTGGTAATAGAAGTCTATGTGCAGGATAAAGTAGTAAAGACCCAACAATTTTTTATCCAACTAAAATACCCCAGTATCACTGAAAAGCATACCAAACAAATCTGAATTGCTGACGCCGGTAAAAATCAAGTGAACCAAAACCACTACTACATGGGTGTTGCCAAGTAAAACTGTGAGGGGGTTCGGGTGGGGGGAGTAAACCCACGTTCTACCCTTCACAGTATTCTAATGAAAGGTCTTATCAAAAGTTTCTACAAATATAACTTCCCTCCACGGCCCCTTTTCGAGATCAGTGGGTGGCTGATGGAAGGGGGGTTAGAAATTGGTTTTACATTTCGTCCTTACCTTTTTGTAATTGGGGGAGGGGGGGGAGCTAAACACTGATATTATCCTACCAACTACTGTTACTGTAGTTACAGACGCCCTGTTAGTTTTTTATATTGGCATTATACAATTTTACTTGGTTTAAAAAAACCGCTCCAAAAATTGACATTCCGACTTAACTGCTTTCATTTTGCAATCCACCCTGTATAATACAAGCTTTACCGTACTGACCACGATTTTATTCCCAAACGCTTGTGCCGACAGTTTGAAGCGAAATAACACATAAAGCAAATTAACCTTTCGGATCGTAGGTCGGCGGTCGCGGTTCGAGCGCCTTCTCCCTCCCGATGTAGTGCATACGATGCATGTGCTCGCCCTTGTTGCTCGAGTCGCTCGAACTTCGCGAATCCTTCGGTTCTTGCGGCAAGTTTAGAGTCTAAACGATTAATCGGTCAGTGCGTTGCGCTTCGGACGCCACCGATACTTACCATGAACACCTCGTTGTCGCCCGACACTTTTGTTTTATGGACCGGCGACGAGGGATAGACATCAGTCAAACCTGAAACAATGGGAGATTTTAGATGAGCGTAATTGGCGGTTTCGGTTCGAGAACTCACCATGGAGAAAGCCCGTAGTAAGAAAGCAATGAAAAAAATGCAAATGGAGCAGATAAGTTAAATTACTTGTTATCTCGCATGTTGAGCGAGATTTGTGCAAATTTACCGATGGTTCAAAGTAGATGCTTTCTGATCGCCTTCTCTCAGGCACTGACGCTAACAGAATTTTAAATCATTTGTACCACCAGGGGGCGCCTATGGTTTTGCCGAAATTTCCTCAGCTTTTTTAACCAGTTTTCACTCGCCAAAATCCATAGGTTAACATATAATTTTGCATAACCCATGCTTGGTAAGTATTATTATTATTACTAGCAGTCTTGGCACCGATCCCGTTTTTCCCGTATCCCCCTCCCGTGGAAACTTCGAGAAGTTCTAACGGAGTATACATTAACGCGTTCTTTACTGTTCCCGTTCCCGTGGGAATTTCCGAACGTGTTTTACTCACCCAGAAACTTTCGCGGGCATCTATCCAACCATTTCCCCAAAGTTTCATCGCAATCGAATGAACGGTTTAAACAGGCATAAGAGATAGGCAGACATTCATTTTTATTTATATAGATAATAGCATACCCAACGGACGATGCAGGTGCAGTTATAGAATATAACTAGTGGCGTTGCGCGATTTTGCACCTTGTTACATGCCAAGTACAGTACTGGTGTCTTCACCATAAGAAATGTCGTTTCAGCATACCTTGGCTGTGATACATCAACGTAATCACGAAAAAGATAGCAAAAAATTTACGTTAAGACATACAGGATGTTGCATATTTTTTTATTTTTTTTATGTTTTTTTATTTTGGTTTTTATTTTTATATAAAAAAATATTAACTTTGGGTCAAAACTCAGAAAAGGTGGTCCAAAATTTTTTTTTACTATGCCAGCGATTCTATGTAAAATATCTAAAATAGGCAATTTCTAACATTTTTTACATTACATTACATGGGTAGTAAGATACGATAATATTCCAAAATGTCAATTTATTTGTTTTCGCCCTGTATCTCAGAAACAAACAGCTAGAGTAATTGTTTGTGGTATTAAAAGTTTTCCAAAAAAAAATGCCAAGACACACTGCAGACTCAAAAAAAATAGGACTCACCACTACTCTGCATAGAGCTCAACAGATTAGGATAATAAGAGTAAGGATTCACAATCATTTTTATCATGGTTTTGATCTTGAATTTTTCCGTTGCAACAAAACTTTCGTGTAAAAATAAAATTGGCCGATTAAAAATGAAGCCCTTGTGTATTTATCTCGGGATAAAATCGGCATCGTCGCCCTTAACAGTAAGGATTTCATTGCCCTATGTTTCCTGTAAAATGCTATCTGTGTTTAGAAAATAATGGAAATCTTTTTGAACAGATCCGCCCCCCCCCCCTCCTCACCAGCTGGTACGTTAACCCCTGAGGACTCATGATACTTTTAAAAAGTAGTATCAGAGTATTTCATAACCCCCCCGCATACAACCAGGGGGTCTGGAATACTCCCCAGCAAAAAAGACAAATTCCTTAATATAAGAATGTTCCTTTAGTGGCGGGTACTAAGAAGCATTAATACATATTTTGGGTAATATCATACAACCGGGGGGAGGGGGGGGTCTAAGGGGTACAGAATTCCCCACAGTAGAAAAGAAAAATCCCTAATATAAGAATTTTCCTTTACTGGGGGTACTAAGGAGCATTAATACTTATTTTGGGTAATAACATGCAACTGGAGGGCCTGGACGATATGGAATACCCCCCCCCCCAGTAAAAAAAGTAATATAATTTTCTTTTACTGGGAAGTACTAAGAGCCAATGAATATGAATAAAATGAATAAAAGTAAGCAAATGCTTATACTTGCAAAATTCAAAGTAAATACTCGTAACTGCTCCTTCGCACTGAGCGACTTAGCAGCGCTTCTAAGCAGAAGGACAGGACGCAGTGCAGCGCTGCTAAACCATGCTAAACAGACCAGTATGAAGGAGCAGTTACGAGTATTTACTTTGAATTTTGCAAGTATAAGCATTTGCTTACTTTTATTCATACGGGCCATTAAATTAAATTCTTGACGCACCGAAAAAATGGTCAGCGGTATAACATGGATCATGACCTCTAAAAACACCCCGTAGATTCTCACTGTCAATCACCAGCGTAACTTATATTTCAAATTAGAGCAAAATATCTCAAAGCCCCTTGAATTAATACCTCTTATTGACATAATATACCAAATCGTGCTCCTTTTTGAGATATATAATAGCTGTTATTCGTCATGAGACACCCTGTATATTAGAAATCCCCTAATTTCGAACAGCGCCCCCTACTGGTCAAACCGTTTACGCCAAGAACTTACAACTTCTTTCCACGAGAAAGTGTCTACTTGAGTCCACTCGGTACAAATGAGTGCAAAGGAACCCAACTTACCGTCTAACAGTTCCTCGACAGCCGTACGAACCCCCTTGTCGAAGGCACGAGCGTCAGCGGCGGTTTGGAAGGTTAGCCCAAACTTCTTGTCTCCGGTCTTCCAGTGGTGAAACGTTGGCATTACTTTATTGTACTCGAAATCCTTTTTGATGGTGCAACTTAAAACGATCTGAAAAAAAAAGGACCGGATTACCTTCGACGCCCGACCGAACGTACCAACTTACGCTTTGATCACTAATTCTTATGCCGTAAATAAGATAGTCATGATTGGGTTTGGCGGGTTCTTGTCCGGGTGCCGACGACGGTGATGCCCTTGGTCTTTTCCTAACGGACACGTTACTGAGTCCACCTCCGCCGAGCGGCACCCAACCGCCCGAACTGTCGTCTCGTGACATCACCTGCGCACGCACGCGCACCAGGTACCCACTAAAACAGAATTAGTCGAGTCAGTGAGTTTGCGATTAACCTTTATATTGAAATGCCGTTTAAATAGGATTTGGCATTTCGGCAGCCCACGGAAGCGTACCTTTATTAAATGTGTAATCAGGTGAAAAATTTAAAGGGCTTGTGGAGATGTAATAAAAATGTCATGAAACTAAAAATACCCAAATTTAATCTCATTTCATTTTTCCAAGTCTGTCCCTAATGAATGCGACCTCTCAAACACATGGTGGTCCAATTCCAACTGTTGAAAATATACAGGGTGGCGCTTTCTACTTAATCATTTGCAAGGGCGTACATGCTGTGGTTTCGGCTAAGGGGGAAATCTACATACAAACTAACTACCGCTAAGAAATAAGTCAGGGTTTAAAAGTTCAATTAAAACATCGCACTACTGCAACAAATTAAATACCTCAACAACGTCATATCATCATCGTCATTTTCTTTCCACTGCTCACTCATAAAGCACAAAACCATTTTAGGAGCGCAAATGAAGTAATAGGTGTTTATTCCACCAAGGTTGCCCGATGAAAATTCCCCCGAATTTTCCAACAGGTCCGTAATACTGAATGTATCATTAAGGAATAAAGTGGTGGAAGTGCGTCATTGAGAGTGGGGGCTACTTTTGAATCTGTCCTAGTATTATCCGTATGACGTCATTCAGTGAAATTGGGACAACGAAACGAAACCGGCCAGGGGGTAAAAACCTGCAGCGTTTGACCTATATACCGACATGAATGGCCTCGCGGTACAACAACCTTCTTCGAACTGGATCAACAGCCCTGCAGGAAATCTATTTATAGATGCGAGGACGTCACAGCCATTTTTGAAAATTTTGAGTTTTTTAACGGGACCGAGTTCGAGATCGCTCGTTTCCAAATGGAGGCCGTTTTAAATTGGCACATTCATTAAAAAAAATGAGAAACAAACGTTATCAAACAGAATTTTCACAAAGGAAAAGCACGTGTTTTTAAACGAGGGGTGGGGGAAGTGACGTCAGATGTATGGATTGAGGAGAAGCGCGCGCGATTGGTCGCAAACTGGGTCAGGTTAGTTGAACGCCAAGTGAAAAAGGGGGAAAGAAAAGTGCCGGGAAATGTAATGGTGGTGGGGGTTGCCAGCGGTGTTATAAATTCGAGACGTTCGGTAATGCATTTGGTGACCTACTTATAACATGAATGACTCCTGCAGAGGGTAACAACCCCCGGGAAACCTCGAATTAGGTCAGAACACGTACCCAAATGGCTGGGGCTGGTTGATATCCATCTATTTTTAGATCGGGGCCTCGAGAGAAGCTTAAACAAGATATAAATTTCAGCATCGATGTGAATGGAAGCCGAAAAACCGGCGTTCGAGGGGGGTGAAAAATAAGCGCGTCCTAATTTTTGGATACAATTTAGACAAGCACTTAACCTAAATATTGGGTTTAATGTGTTGCCATCCCTCGCTAAATGGAAATTAAAAGAGAAAACAATTTCGCCACAACACGAAGCTAAAATTAAAGGGGAAGGTTTTTGAATGGATCGTTCAGAAGTTCGGACAAATATAGGTTAAACTACTCACGCTACAGTGTCTTTTCGAGGGGGATTCGCGCGATCGTTAATAGGACGAAAATAAATTTTCCGGCTTGGTTCATCAAAATCCGTGAGCTCGCGAAGAGCCCGTATTGACAATTCCTCGATGGATTGCGCCGATAAGGTGATGATTATTAAAGACGGGGTCTAGCGTGAAACGATTTTATGAATCCAAACTGATACAGTTCCTAAGCTTCGTTTCGGATCGCCATTCGTGCGATTTTCAGAACTATTTACCAGGAGACATTCATAATGTCCGTTTAATATCGGTTTAAAATAACTCATTTTTCTTATTAGGACGCAAAATTTTATTCTAAAGGCGCATAATTAGCAATAAATGTCCGCACAAACTTCAATTGTAAAAGAGTCCACTGTGCTGTAAAGTTGGCCGGGATTAACTCATTTTCTACAGGGGCGCAAAATGTCATTTACAGGGCGCAAAACGGCGCATATGAGCCGGCTAAGTTCAACCATCTTCTCTTGAGTTCTTTGAGATATCTTTTTTTAAGTCTGTTAAGGCTCCTTGGCTCCTTCAGGTGGTGTCGAAACCTCTTTCTAAAGCTGGCTTTACATCAACAATAAATTGATCAATTTTTTGTTCAAGTCGCTTTGACAAGAAAACTGTACGAGTGTAAACACAGAAATGGATGCAATAACTTGACCAATTTCTTGAACACAATTTCTTCAAGTTCTATTTTTCTGGCAATCTTTACGTCAATTCAGTAGTACCAACTACCAGCAACCAACATAAATAATAAAATCAAGATGTTTTGATCATTTTTATGAGCTATAACAATATAGCTATTAATTACAGCGATCTTTCTTTTTCTATTCCGTAATCTTCTATTCAAGACCGAGAGAAACATTTTTTCACTTTTCACTTTTTTTTCTACACAATTTAAAAAAAATGACAACCTAACCTTAAAATAATTGAAGGTGAAATTGTACCGGGTGACCCAATAAGACTGTTTCTCGGCCATATCTCGGGAACCGTTCGTCGTATTGGGTAAATCGGTTATGAAGAATCGCTGGAAAAAATTTACAAGTTCTAAAAATTACCAACAGAGGGCGTAACTGCAATCTTAAATTTTTCATAATAAACTGAACATTCTTTTTTCACATTTTTTAAGAGAACCAGTTTATCTATCATTTTCGTAAAAACAAAACTCAGTTATTTCAAAAACAAAGATGGTGTGGGGCGTTCAATTGTTTTTGCAATAACCTGCTTTAACTTCTTAAACGTTTGACCGATTGTAACAAATTTGGTATCGTTGAAAACAGCATTCCTTGGGCAACAAGAATCAACCAAAATATAGTTAATTCAGTTGAATCCTTCTCCGCCAGGGGGCTAGTTCTGACACTATGATCCAAAATCCTAAAAAAATCAATTGGAATAATATGCCTTTTTCTTTATGAAAAAGTAGCCAAATAACACCCAAAGAGGCCAGTGAAAACCATTTTTCAAAATTTCGTTCTTAACCTCAAATAGTGGGAAAATAGATTAATTAATTAATTAAAATGCTTAAATTGTATCTTTTTTTACGTATTTCCGGTATTTGTCGATGGCGCGAAAGATTGTTTGGAAAAGGACCCTACACTTTTAGGTGGGCCTTGGAAAGTTAAACAAATGAAACACGATGCATTATAAAATAATAACAGCCGTAATTTGTAAATTGTTCTGCTGTTTTTACATTCAGAAAATGCAGTTTTTTGAATTTGTAATCTTGTCTAAAATGTCGAACTAACCAAGAAGCATTTAATATGCTGGCGGCGATGGTTCGTGGCCGATTCGGATATCGCAAATAGAAGATGCGGGCAGCGATGGTCGCATTTTGAAAATACTCAAAATATATTGCCATCAATTAATTAATTAATCTCATTTTCCCAATATTTGAGATTAGGAACGAGATTTTGAAAAACGGTTTTCACTGGCCTCTTTGGATGTTATTTGGTTACTTTTTCATAAAGAAAAAGTCATATCATTTCATCTTTTTGATTTTTTTAGGATTTTGGGTCATAGTGTCAAAACTAGCCCCCTGGCGGAGAAGGATTCAACTAAATTAACTATATTGGTTATTCTGGTTGATTCTTGTTGCCCAAGGAATGCTCTTTTCAACAAAAGAAGAAAATGCAATTTTAAAATGTAAGATGGCAGTTACGCCCTCTGTTCGTCATTTTTAGTACTTGAAAATATTTTCAAGAGATTCTTCATGACCGATTTACCCAATAATTTTTTTTTACCCCTAAGTCATATGACGAACGGATCTCGAGATATGGCCGAGGAACAGTTGGTCCCCGGCACAATTACTTTAAAAACAACAAGAAATTGATCAAGTTAACAGCAGTGTAAAACCAAGGAACTTGAGCAATAAATTGACAAATAACTGCATGAAGTACTTGGTGACGAAATTGTTGATGTAAAAGTAGCTTAAGATCCATTTGAAGTATCCCGAGATCTTTATTTCCATCTTCGTATCCATCCTTGGGGGTCTCTAAAGAGGCCCGCTATGTCAGTCCCTTGGAGTTCCCAGGGAATTTATTCGTCGATGAAAAATTCGTTTAAGATAAATGATAAAACTTGTTCCAGATGAATTCGTGCCTTGGGAAAATTCTTAAGAAAAATTCGCCCCCGAAGTAGTCGTAATCAGAAAGCGACGCCCAAGGAAATTCGGATCGGAAAATTCCCTTCCGCGAACCCGTCTACTCGTAAAGGAAACCAGCTCCAAGTGAATTCGTATCTCGAGAAAATTCTCAAGAGGAATTTGACACCGAAGTGATTGTAAAGGAAACCAGCAACAGGCCAGAAGTCCAGAAAAATTGAACCCCGAAGTAGTCGTAATCAGAAAAGGAGATTCAAATGGGAAAATTCACTTCCGAGAGTTGTTAAACTCTGAAACTAGTTCCGGTGAATTCGTACTTTGGGAAATTTCTCTCAATTCGACCCTGAAGTAGTCGTAATCGGAAGTGACTCCCAAGGAAATTCAGATCGAAAAATTCGCTTACAAGAACTTGTTTATTCGTAAGGAAAGCAGCTCGAGATGAATTCGTACTTTGGGAAGATTCGGTCCCGAAGTGGCCGTAATCCGAAATGAGGCTTCAAAAAAATTCAGATCGGAAAATTCTCTTACGAAAACCCGTCTACTCGTCAGAAAATCAGCTCCAAGTGAATTAATACCTTGGGAAACTTCTCTCAAGAAAAATTCGACCCTGAAATAGTCGTAGTCGGAAAAGCGACGACCTAAGAAATTCGGATCGAATGATTCAGATCGCTTTTTTGGAAAACAGCTCCAGATGTATTCGTACTTTTGGTAAATTCGATCCATAGGTGGCCGTAATCAGAAATGAGGCTTCCAAAGAAATTCAGATCGGCAAATCCTCTTACGAGAACCCGCCTGCTCGTAAGAA